TCGCATCATTGTCTTCGACGAACTGTTTACTATTCGCATTTGCTACTTTTCTTGTAAATTCTCTGTAACAGAAGTCATGATACTTGAACTCTTTTGCTATTAAATCGATATCTCTAATTTCATAAATGAGATTGGTGTCTTTCGCTTCTGCCGATTCCTTGATTTGCGCAGCAGCCATATTGGTTGCTATTGTGATGGGAAAATGTAACTTTCCATTCTTTTTCACCCTGTTTTTTTTGCAGAAATTGCATTCCTTTGGATAAAGGTTACGAGAGCAATCAGAGCTGGATTCACCACGCTTTAAGCGCGTTACATTTGGTTGTGAATCGGGAGAGCTTTCGGAATGTTTCCTTTTTTCTTGAGAAAGTATCAGAACAAACTTTTTATCGCACGGTTCTAGATGAACGCCGTGTAACGACGGATTGAACTGATTTAGCTCTGGGACAGAATCGCACTGTTTTTTGTGATGGTTAGAGCCACCCTTTGATTCTCGTAGAGTTTTCGCTTGCTGAATTCGTTCCAAGTTAACTTCTGACAACTGTTTTATGTTACTGTATTTTCCGTCATCAATATCATAATGAACCACACACTTTAAGTCTGCCACATCTGCAAAAATTGATTCAAATTTTCTCACTCACATTAATCAGTAATTTTTAGAAAAGCTGACTTTACTTTTCAGCAATATTGTATATCTGCAGGTGAGTCACTTATGAATTCTTTCAATTCCAAATTAGCATTGCCTTTAAGTTATTGTTTTACAAATATTACAAACTTAGCGCATGCCTAAATTTAGACTTTCGCAAATATTTATGTATAATTATCATATGAAATCGAAAAGACAAAGTAGCAATGAATCTCAGTTAAAATTTCAAAATGCATTTGAATACCATTACTTATAAGCAAAAGATAAACTTTGCATACAAATAAATTGAATTTAAGCGTATAGTCTATTGATTAATATCCAGTAATGTCAATGCATATATGGCACATGCTAGTCCCATGTCTAAATATAAGTATCAAAACAATTGAATAAGCTTACCAAGTCGCTCTGATATAGTCTCAAAAATCATAAACAAGCATAAGAGATAGCACACTATATACACGCCTTTCATTGAGAATTCGTCAAAACATTTCAAGCTTGATTAACAGTCTTTACAGACTTTACATTCCAGCATGCAACATGTACAATGCACGTGGAAAAGAGGAAGTCAGGATTCCGGATGTTTCCGGTTAATTCAATTTAATTTTTGAAGCCTTATCCAATTCAGCATTTAAGCATAAAATACTGAAATAGTTCAACATGGGAAATGAGTTAACCAGTCTTTTTTCTAGGCAAGGATTAAAATAAGGTTACTCCACAACCCCTCCCCCCGATCAAATAAATCCAAAATGTTTCATACCTTGTTTAGCAACACATGTATAACTTCCGCAAGCAATGTAAACTTTATTTCTAAACTAATTTATATGTAATGAAGGTTGTGGTAATAACATATCACAAATTTCAGTTCATTAAATAATAAAATTCAGTTCATTAATTATATGCAGAAATCCCAACATTTTACCCCCCTGCGGCTAAACGCACCCGACTCCCCCCGTTTACCATCACGTTTCGAAACACCCAGGTCTGTACCTACTTGAAAATACCCATCCCGATTTCTCCGGCTTCAGGTGGTAGTAAAGTCCACCACAGCGAGGTCTAAAGTGCTTTTGCATTTCGAAAACTTACACCGTGTTTATAGTTACTATGCGCTGCAGGCTATTCTTCACTTACTGTACGTGTTATGTACAAATCAAAATCAACTAAAGCGTAAATTGGCTCTATTACGTAACTGAAATGGGTGGAAATAGTGCTTAATAGAAACTACTGCCTTAAGTCTTTGCTCTCTGGAAATATATTATTAACGTCAATATATTATTACGTCAATAATTTGCTAACATTTTAAGTGTCAGTATAAAAAGAGTTTTAAGTGTTATAAAAAACTATAGTAGAATAGTAAGTTATTTTATATAAAAAAGAAACTCACAAAGATCAAATATTTATAGTATATTTATTTTAATAAAGTAAAAAACAAATTCCGAAAATACAGGACATCTTTAGAATTCAATGTATAATTCAAAACAAGACGCAGTTTGAGACTGTAAATTTTCGACTTTATTTCAAAGTCATCTTCAGACAGAATGAAATACAATGCTTTACAACACACACATATATATATATATATATATATATATATATATATATATATATATATATATATATATATATATATATATATATATATATATATATATATATATATATATATATATATATATATATATATATATATATATATATATACAACGCAGAGAGAGAGCATCTGTCATGTGGGCGGAAAGAAGGATTATCCAAGTTTGTTTTTTACTTTATTTTCTTTAAATTGTCTGCTGGTCATGCTTTTTTTGAGTTATTTTCAGGGGCGCCGGAAGCAATGTAAAGCGGCGGGGGCAGCCATTTCAAAAGGGCACTTGCTTAGTTGCTTCTCAGCCATCATTTTTCTTGGCGGCAATATTTGTTAAAACTTTAAATATTCGATTACTTGTGGCCATTATGGGTCGGCTAACTTCGACATTAATTTGAACAATTTTATTTGTTGCACCGTGCTAAAGGCGCAAAATAAAATCAGTAAACGAACGTATATTGCTTGATTTAGCATTAATTTCACTACAACTCGTTAAAAATTAAGCAAAGATTGCTTAAAGATGCTGTACTGTCCGATTTGCGTATGCATGCACAAAGGATCCCTCTTTTTATTATACAAACAGTTTATTTAGGTTTTTATTTCATTTTATCTTCTTGCAAAGCTTGATTGTTGTGTCTTGATAATTTATTATAGGCTACTCTAGAATCGTGAACGAAAATATAAATAGTTTTCGAATAAAGTTCTATATTTTGGATAACGAAATGTAAACAAAGCCTTTGTTTACATACGGATTGTACCGCATCTTTAAAAATAGTCCTAAATTCCAATTCCTGTGAATAACGCACAAATTTCGAGGTGCAGTTCAGGTAAAAAGGGCAACCTGTTGCCCCCGTGCTGCCCCCGCGATGTTTGGGCAACGGGGGCAGTTGCCCCCGTGACTCCGGCGCCCCTGGTTATTTTAAGTTTTCTTTGCGAGCGGTCCATTTTAGCGGTCATACTATGAGATCAGTCTTTGCTATATGCAAAAATTCTTCCTTCCCTCAGAGGCTCAGACCTTGGTGAATTCAGGAAATATATACATAAATCTTCCAACTCTTTCACCTGTATAGCTGCACTGTTTTCTACTCCACACGACTGCACGTCACGATCACATTATCAATATCCACACAAGTAGTGATTTTTATATTCATACAATTGTTGCTGTGCATCGCTATCTTTGTATTTCTGTCTTTGTCGAGCTATAAGATATCATTTTGACCATAACAGGATTTATTTGCATTAAGCGTTGAATCGACAATGTCATACAAAAACTCAGAAAAGCAGTTTCAAAAGAATGTAAACATATTCATACTGGTCCAAATAAATAGCAGCTTTGGCTTTTTTAGTTGCAATACAGGGGATGTCTCGGATTAGGATCTCTCTCTTTATGGAACGCCATACTGGACAAAATTACTTTAGGATTATATACGTAAAACTTCTCTCGCGCGTACATCTTATCTGCATTCTTGCAAGGCTTGAATACACGCGTATAAAACATCATGCTTCCCGTGTAAACCGGCTACTGTACTAACTGTGCGCAATACTTAGAAATATCCCCGTAATACCTGAAAACATCGCCCGGAAACGTTAAACCTCGCCCGTAAGACTTCTAAATGTGGTCCGTAAGACTTCTAAATATGGTCCGCGCGTAATACTTCTTGGCCGTAATTTAATATGAAAGTATTATATTTATAGTGAAGTCCGTACATATAATACTTGTTTACGTTTAAATAGTGTGTGATGTCAAAACTCTGCACGTATAAGATTACAGAATTACGCCGTGCTCTGCATGCGCATGATATTTTCCATTTGACTTTAAAAGGCAAACCTGAAACAAACTTTACCATGATACGTATCATGGGATGAAAAAATCCCCCCCCCCCCGCCAACGTTCGTGAAATTGTCTTCCCGTGAATATTTCCAAAAATTGCTGTCAACATGCATGAGAGGAGACGAAAATGCAAAAATTTCCGAAACACATTTTGAAAAAGTGTGCTTGATATATTCGGGGATATTTACTGTAGCTCTATTTCTTTCAATGCCCGCAGCAATCCCTACCTTACAAGTACCCTGGTATTCAAAATATCCATAACATGTATCTATAAAGAGTTAAAACTATCAAACCACAGAATCGAAATCCGGCCTAGTCCGCAGAATCGAAACTCATGCATTCCAAGTAATTTTGCAAATTCTGTTTGTTTCTAGCCTGCGCGCAGACTATATAATGACATATATATATATATATATATATATATATATATATATATATATATATATATATATATATATATATAGTATATATATATATATAGTGTATAATATATATATAGTGTATAATATATATATATATATATATATATATATATATATATATATATATATATATATATATATATATATATATATATGTATATATATATATATATATATATATATATATATATATGACGAAAAATGCTAAAATTGCAGCTAGGATTCATATTTATATATTAAAAGATTAATGGTTTCTTGTCACTAGCTATGTAAAAAACGTAATCACGTTTATAAAAAAGTTTTTACAAGACGTTTCGATCAGAAACCTCCGATCTTCGTCAGTTGATATTAAAAACTAAGAAGCCAATAGGTCCTAAAGGTCCTAAGAGATAACGGTTACCCCTTACAATTCATAAGAAGCTGTGATAACAGGAGGCGAAACAAAAACAAGGAATTAAATAGTTCGCACGAAAATGTGAATGCAACGCAAAAATCAACAGTTTCATCTAGTTATGTTGTTCTACCATATATAAAGGGCGTTACAGAAAGAATTACAAGAACATTACAACGTGAGAAAGTTCGTGTTTCATTCCAACCAACTCGCACATTACAGCAAGAATTTCCAAAGCCAAAAGATAAACTAGACACCAACCGTACAAGGGACATCGTTTATAAAATTGAATGTTCCGCTTGTGATTTTACTTATTATGGTCAAACCAACCGAGCATTGAAAACAAGAATAAAAGAACATAAAAGAGCTGTTGAATATAATGATAAGAATTCCAAGATAGCCCAACACGTTGAGCAATATGACCATAATATGGACTTTGAAAACGCCGAAATAGTTAGTAGAGAGAAAAAATTATCGCAAACGATTGTTCCTTGAGGCTTGGTATTCCCAAGTGGACAAAAGTTCTGGCAACGACCATATTGACATTCCAGACGTTTATGGGTCACTGATGCATCCAAATTAATAGCTAACGAACCGTATAAATAGAGGCCTGTTTATTGGCTTCTTAGTTTTTAATATCAACTGACGAAGATCGGAGGTTTCTGATCGAAACGTCTTGTAAAAACTTTTTATAAACGTGATTACGTTTTTTACATAGCTAGTGACAAGAAACTTTTAATCTTTTAATATATATATATATATATATATATATATATATATATATATATATATATATATATATATATATATATATATACATATACATACATATATATATATATATATATATATATATATATATATATATATATATATATATATATATATATATATATATATATATATATATATATATATATATATATATATATATATATATATATATATATATATATATATATGTTTGTAATTGTTTTGTTTTCATGTTAATTAAGGTTACAGGATACCCTTTTTGGCGTTTTGCGGAAAATCGCTACTGTGCGATCAATATCAGTCCGATTTTCATCAAATTTTCACCAAATGTTCTCCAGTGCATGCAAAATATGGTAAAGTTGTAAAATTAACAAACAATAGAATAATGTAAGAATTATTCAGGAAAATCTTAAATCGCGGTACCTTTACGCTTTTGAGTTGTGCTCCTGCTGGTTTTAAGATATATTTATGAAAATATCATTTTTACACAGTAAAATAGTTGTTCTAAAAAATCGTGTTCGGAAATTTTTGTTTATTTCGTCATTCCGCTGATATGGCGATTTCTTTGACGACTGCAATATATTTCTGAATTGTTTGAGTGAATTGCTCTTTATTTTTAAAATATCCAAAATTAAAAAAAGCCGAACACAATTTTGAAACAGACGTATTTAGCTATGTCCTGTGAAAATTTGAGAAAAATTGGTTAAAACCCGCAGGAGCACAACTCGTTTGAAAATCAGTAATTACCGTAAAATTTTTCGGGAGAAAATTGAATTTGAATATTACATTTTCAATGTTTTTCTTATTGCAGCGAAATGTATTTTACTAAATAACTCTGCGAGTTTTCAACATTTTTCGTTCAAACTTGGTCAGATAGTATAGAACTAGTCTAATGCTTTCATTGAAACCAAGAAAAACATTTTAGGCAAAATTAACACTTAAAGGTGTTCTGTAACCTTAAAGTCATTACAAATTCACATTTCTTTATTTAAAAGTCTTACGCACAGAACGTTTGAGTTTATAGACAACATGTAAACAAGTATTATGTACGGACTTCACGAAAAATATAATACTTTCATATTAAATTACGGCTAAGAATTATTACGCGCGGACCATATTTAGAGGTCTTACAGACCATATTTAGAAGTCTTACGGACCACATTTAGAAGTCTTACGGACCGCATTTAAAAGTCTTACGGACCTCATTTAGAAGTCTTACGGACCACATTTAGAAGTCTTACGGACCACATTTAGAAGTCTTACGGACCATATTTAGAAGTCTTACGGACCACATTTAGAAGTCTTACGGGCCATATTTAGAAGTCATACGGGCGAGGTTTAACATTTCCGGGCGATGTTTTCAGGTATTACGGGGATGTTTCTAAGTATTGCGCACAGTTAGTACAGTAGCCGGTTTACACGCGAAGCATGATGTTTTATACGCGTGTATTCAAGCCTTGCAAGAATGCAGATAAGATGTACGCGCGAGAGAAGTTTTACGTATATAATCCTATAGTAATTTTGTCCAGTATGGCGTTCCATAGCATTGCACATATTTTTAGCCTGTAAACTAGGTGGTTACCCACAGGACAGTAATGCTGCCTTTGACAGCAAAAGACAAACTACAGGGTGTTGAACGAGTCCTTCAGAAACATTCTATTATTGTTTATTTTTTACTAAAATGGGCTCGGGAAGATGATAAGTTTGGCGAAGATAGAAATTATGAGGAAGAGGAGTTTGTGTCAAATGCTGATCTTGTGTCTGAGTTGCAGGTATCACAGTCTCGTGTTGGGGCTGTTATAGGTACTGTGTCGTGAATTGTGTTTCTTGTTGATAATCTGTAATTTGATTAAACGTAATATGACTTTTAAAATATATGAAATCAAAATACAAAATGCATGCATCATTGTACAAGATATACATTTTGCCAATTGTGTTATGTTGGAACATTAAAAGATTTGAAATTCCTCAATGCAAGACACGTTGTTTTTGAAGAATAAAATTGTGCTTGTAATTTTAACTACATAATTTATCTAGGGCGTGGAGGCAGTGTTATAAAACAGATACAAAAGCAAAGTGAGACAAGAATTAATTTTAAAAACGACAATGAAGAGTCTGGAGATGAACTAACAGAAGAGGCAAGGTCTCGGATTCGGACAATGGTGATCAGAGGTTAGCGAGAGAGAATCAAATATGCTGAAGTTCTGATCAAGAAGATAATTGACGAGCAATCAGTGTTGGAGATAATCGCTGTAGAGGTACCACAGCGGGTTATTGGAAGAATCATTGGGAAAGTTGGAAAGACTATTCGACAGTTATGCGTAATTTCAGGTACTTTAGGTGTTGATTGTCCCTCAAGCTTTCACAGACCAGCTAATGTTTATGTCTGTATTTATCTATTTTTTAGATGTTGTTGAAATAAGCTGTAGTATTTAATACACCAAAATGCGTGACGTTACGATTTTGCGTGGAGTCGTAACAATACATGACTATTCGACAGTTATGGAGAATTTCAGGTAATTTAGGTGTTGATTGTCCCTCAAGCTTTCACAGACCAGCTAATGTTTATGTCTGTATCCATTTTTTAGATCTTGCTGAAATAAGCTGTAGTATTTAATCCACCAAGATGTGTGGCGTTACGATTTTGAGTGGAGTCGTCACAATATAAGAATATATATTCTGTTCAACATATTGTAGGTGTTGAAAAATCAAAATTAATAGTGAAAATGAGATTGGTGATTATCGATCATGTGAGATTATTGGAACTGAGACACAGATTGCATGTGGCAAACAACTGATTGATGACAAAAATCTGAAGACAAAGAATTCAGAGCAAAGAGAAAAAGTGCTCAGGAAAGTACACTAATTAAATGTTCTTTTAGTTCATAATTATCTCGTTGAGCAACATTAGAAAGCTTAGCTTATCAGTTGTTGTCTCTCGAAGTACTATATAAAATGCAAGCGTAGTTAAAAATAAATGCGAACCAAACCAAGAGCATTGCACATATTTTTAGCCTGTAAAATAGAAGATGGTTTTATTTGAGATGAAATCAGAAATCCTTCCTAGTAAATTAAATATATTTCAATGTTGTAATTGTATGAATTTTTCTTTACAGCAAAGGACAAGTTAACATTTGCACATTTACTTGTGCTGGTGAGTACTTTGGGGTGTATGTGTCTGCAATGGAGAAACCGATCCTGCACCAACATCGGACGTCGTCGATGCGCGCGTATTCATATGATAGACTCGGATATTTTCAAAATTAAACGAGACTTACCTTGAAGTTAAAGTCTGATTTGATCCTGATGACGCGATATGATTTGATCCTGATGACGTGTACGCTACGCGTTATATGATACGCGTATGCAGATGACACGCTACGCGCATGATACTCGTACCACAGGCAAAAAAGTGTTGAGATATACGCGAGCTGTACTGCACATCACGTGTCACATGACATTACATTACATGACATGACATGACACCACAACACGTACATATGTCATATCACATGAAATATGATTGTACATGTCACATGACATATTACCAACATATTTTTTAGATGAGTATACTGGACTATGATGAGGATGGTAATGTTGATCACAGCACAATAATACCCATGGTGGATGGTGGGACTGAAGGTGATGTTTTAGTCAAATGGTAATCTAGAGCTGCCAATTGGCTTGAATTAATTTAAGCTGAAAAGTGATATCCAAACATTACAATGAAGACCTTATTTAAGCTTATAACTAACGTGATTTTCTAACTGTTTCATCTATGCAGCATTCAAAGGCAATGCAACAGTCATCATTCCTGGTGTCACTGCTTGTATTGAGTGCACGCTAGATCTCTATCCTCCGCAGGTAAAATATCACTTTTCGCTCACCACTTGAAAGTATTCCATGCAGTAATTTGGTCAATGTTGCAAATTGTAGGTCAACTATCCAATGTGTACGCTTGCTTCTACGCCAAGACTACCTGAACATTGTGTTGAGTTTGCGAAACTTCTTCAGTGGCCTGAAGAAAAACCTTTTGGAGGTAAACAATGGTATACTTGGTATCATGATGAACATTCAAAATCTCCATGTATTCTGGCGTGTTAAAATGAGTGCTGGCGCCATAATTCATTGCCGTTTCGTTAAAAAGAAATTTTAAATGTAGCCAGCTTATGCGTGTTTACTCAATGACATAGCCAGAAAACGAATCGTACACGATTAATCGCAGCGTGTAAACGTAGCTTTAGACACATTTATATGAACCTATTTATCTCTTTCCAAAAGATATTGCTGTTGATGGAGACAATCCCCAACATGTTCAGTGGATTTATGAAGAAGCTTTTAAAAGATCTGAGGATTACAATATCAAGGGAGTTACTTACAGACTTACACAAGGTATACCCTGGAAATTACAGTATTCTATCTCATACAGTATTTGGCACTTTGGATCACCAACTAACCCATGTTATTTTCAGGTGTTATCAAACATATAATACCCGCTGTTGCCTCAACTAACGCTGTTGTCGCTGGTAAGTCAATTTCACTGGAAACAGCAATTAGGAACTTACATCTTGCAACATATGTTGCAACAATTGACAAATTTTGACTGACCACTGACGTCTTAAAGATATTTACTAACACCTGACAATGTAACTGATTTATAGCTGAGAAAACCCCAATGTGTTCTGAATGCTACATAAATATTCCTTTTCCTAGCTGCGTGTGCATTAGAGGTTTTCAAGCTGGCAACCAAGTGAGTAATCCAAAACTAAATTGTGTTATCTATATACAGTAGTATCCTAATTTCTGCATGACGGTGATCGATGCTCTGACGACCGAAGGGCCATATCCTCTTGTAATATTCCATCATATTTTATCACATAGTTGTTCTAAGCCGCTAAATAACTACATGGTCTTCAACGATTCTGATGGATTATATACATATACTTTCGAAGCGGAGAAAAAGGTAATTGTATGTTGTTGCATTTAATTTTCTTGATTACCATGGTCAAGTAAAACGCGCGAAAGCCAACAATAATGGAACAAGTTCTGAGTTTTGTCATTGAAATATTTCCCAGGAAGATTGTTCTGCTTGTGGTCGAATTCCTCAGCGACTAACATTCTCTCGTGATGATACGCTGCAAAATCTTCTAGATCACTTGGTAGAAAGTCCACTGTTGTGAGTAAAATATTCCAATTATATTAATCCCTCAAGGTTTCAGACCCTCAAGCTTTTTCAGACCCTCAAGGGTCTCAGACAGATCCTCGGCCTTTTCATCATGCCTGTAGAAAGTAGAAAGTTTTGGAACAGTGCTAACTCCAAAAATCATTAGGAGCTAGTTATCTACAATCAACTTTTCCTTATGTATCCCGTATACTGTATATGACATTGTTGCACCGTAAAATTTTCCAAATATAGTAAAACTATTTAGTATTTTTAATTAGAGTTTGTTCTGCCTCTTTAGTCAAATGAAGGCTCCTGGGATAACAACGTCAATAAATGGAAAAAATAAAACATTATATATGCAGGTAACCCAGAAGACTAAACTACAGGGTTGGTAAGTTAGATGAATAATTAGGCCAAATCGTCATTAGTGCCGTTTAGAAAACAGAGAAAACAAAAGGTCAAGACAAAGAAAACAAAGGCCTAGTGTGACGGTGTTCGGCCTAATTATTCAGCAAACCTACCAACCCTGCTAAACTAGAGCTTGATATTACTCGCGAGTCGCCACTGACAACTTTTGACTGTTTTCAGAGTGTTCCATCTATTGAAGCAGTGACTAGACCAAACTTACAAAAGAAACTTACAGGTATGACGCGCAAAATTACTCTGCCTCATGCAGGGCGCTTATATACTTATAAGCGCCCTGGCCTCATGCGTGCGAAATGCGTGGAAGAATAAGTGCTCGCAGGAAAGACTGCACGCAAGAATAACGACGCGCAAGAATGACTGCGCGCAGGAATAACTGCGTGCGAGAATAACTGCGCGCAAAAAATGACTGCGAGCAAAAATTGACTGCTTGCAGGAATAACTGCGCGCAAAAATGACTGCGTGCGAGAATAACTGCGCGCAAAAATGACTGCGCGCAGGAATAACTGCGTGCGAGAATAACTGCGCGCAAAAATGACTGCGCGCAGGAATAACTGCGTGCGAGAATAACTGCGCGCAAACATGACTGCGCGCAGGAATAACTGCGTGCGAGAATAACTGCGCGCAAAAATAACTGCGCGAAGGAATAACTGCACTTTGCAAATGAATAAAACTGTATGGCAGAGAAAAAATGAAAAACCAGCCAAGTTTTTTTGTACCAATATTTTTAGAACTTGGTATTACGGATGGGCATGAAATTGCAGTTGCGGACTCTACTTCACCGAAACCAATCGTATTCCGAATTTACTTTGAGTGAAACAGTGTGACAGTAGTGTATGATTGTAAGGTGGATTTCACTTGGTGGTTATGCTGTATGGACGTTATTGAGAACAGTTTCGTTCTTCTACGAGTGTTAACATTTCTTAATTTGACTGGAGTCTGCCGACATTACAGGCTGATGGTCATTATTTTGTGGTAGATATGCACCCTAAGTAAGTCTGTAAACAGCAAGTGAAACATCTAAATAATGACTTTCATGAATCAATGTTCTTCAGTCGACAAAAAATGAACAGTCTTGTACATTCAGTAAGGTAGTAAATTCAATAATCTTGGTAACTGGGGTGCATCCAGCAAGGTTTTTCTAGGGGGGTGCTGAGTGAGCAGCCGAGTTGTTTCTTTATAATTCTTTAGGAAAATTTTTCCTGCAATATGGACATTGAATTATGAGCTTCAGTTTGACTTCAAAAAAGGAAAAACCTTGGAAATTATGCCATAGTTCTGAATTTGATTTTTTTGCTCCCCTGTACACCACCCTATAAATCCACCCCTGCTTGGTAAGATTAAAAGTTTAGTCAATTCAAAATATATTGATAATTGTATAAACAGAAATATGTAATTATTCTTTTATACAAGAATGTGTACAAGATTGTTGGAATTTTATTTTAAGTACAGTATCGTTCATAGTTGTTTACCATGCAGAAAGGAACAGTGCTGTTTTAATGTCTTTATAACTTATGTTGAGCAAGTACAGACATGAGAAAATGGTCCAGTATTGCCATTTATAACCCCTCTTACCCAGACACTATATGAAGTATCATACTTTATCTTCTCGTCAAATGTATGTTGTGTGATGCCTTGCAATGAATATGCCATGTAGTTCTCATCTAATACATCCTGAATCCAAACTTCACTACTAACTTTGGATTGGTCATAAAACTGCATGTTCCATGAAATATTCCAAGAAACAAATATACCCACTCCAGTTTCAGATTCCAGGCTTTTGCACAATACATTTGTTATTTTTCCAGGATACTTTTTAACATAGTCCCTTTTTTGTGCCTGTTTGCTTCCATTTAAAGCATTTTTCATAACTTCCATGAAAGTAGGAATATCGACAATTGTGTCTTGGTAGATTCTAAATAACCAGTAGGGGTTATTGCAGCATAAATGTCTCGGCACTTCATTTGTGTTTAAAATAGTTGTTTGCATTTCACTATCCAAATACATGATTCCACCTTCGGATTTTGTCCTATTGGGATACACTACAGTGTTGTTCTTGATATTATTCTGCCAAGATGTGTAAGTTATATCCATTATTTCAGCAAGAGTTTTGTATGGTGTATAATTCTGAGGGTTGATGGCGTATGGAAATAACTCAATAACAAAACCACCAGGGCTAAGAAACATTGATAAAACTAATATTGATCCATGCATGCCAATGATTCCCACAGAACCTTGGATTTGTTTGATAATTTCACCAAGTCTGTTAGTTTCTAAACTAAGCCTAACAACTCGAAGATTAAAAGTCGTTGCAATGGAAAATGTAAGTTGTAGCTCATTTAGTATGAGACGGTTTGATTCACGAGAGAATAGAATAACATAGTTGGAATCTTTGCTTTTGCTGGTTGTCCCTAGTTTATTGGTAACATATTCTGTGAACTGTTGTATAATGCTGCCATCTGGCCTATGGTTAGGTATTGGTCCTTGTGGAATATGGAAACCATAGTCGTACCATGTTGTCGATTTTGATATGCCAACCATAACATCGCGAAAACAGACTAACGATTTGTTACTCTTTGATAGAAGATATGTTAACAGGATTGGTTTTCTATTGGAGAATAATTTATATAGCTCAAAATAAGGCCCCTCCTCTCTCCCTTCCATGAATATAATTTGAACTTCCATGTTAAATGGTTTATTTTGTTGTTTGAAATCTTGGAAATACTGTCGTAAAGTGTAGAAAAGTGGTAACAAATCGTCATGAATTACATGCATTATGTTCTCTGGGTTAAATCTATGAAATAGTAAGCTTGGGTGGTCAATATGAACAATTTCTGAGAAATATTTCAAAGCAGAGACAGGTGCATCTTGGAAATTAAAGTACTGTAAGTTATGGTCATTAATGGAGGATAGGTCCAGCAATGCTGGTGAACAGCGCTTGTCGGGCACTCCTTGGACAACACTGGACTCTCCGTGGAAAAAGATAAACTCTCTAAGCCATGGTGAGTAATATAAATTCCTAAATTTACATAGACGTTCACTTCTCTCCACACCATCACACCATAGGCTGGACTCTTGCACCAAAGTATTTAGTCTGTTTTGTGGAATTGAATGGTCCTTTCTCTCCAGACAATCTCTGTTAGTATCTTTGCGTAATTTCACTGCAGGATTATTCACGTTTTCTGTCAGTTTGTAAAGAATTAAGGTAAAAATACAATGAGAAATAATACAATACCAAAATAACCAACTCATATTGCTCCTTGCGCTAGACTGTAACAACAACTGATGGTAACAATCTCTCCCTCCCCCCTGTTATTAGTGTCAAAAGTTATAAAGAAAGGGGGGTTGGGAGGATGGATAATACTGTGGTACAAGCAGTGAATAAAAAGCCGCGTTATATTTCGGGAACTCCGGTCGAAATATATGTGAATACTAGCGGTATAGCTTACCAATCTGTGCGTTACTGTTGAAGAATAATATTTCTCACTCTGAGAACGTTGGCCACATTAAAACCAACCCTGTTCAAAAATGCAAAACATTGATATTTTTGCAGCTGCGTTTGTGGCATTTCTTGGAGATACCGGAAATAGCACTGCTTTCAATTCCGGAAAATATTACATTCATCACAAGATCTGCCTGAGCCCGGGTAGGTAAGTAAAAATTAATTTCTTGTTTTAGCTAAAACTTTCGCTTCAAAGAAGTCTATACTTGGATTTTAAATGGATAAATCTAGTGCAGTGTGTTTACGTTGCACTACATTGCTTCGTGTTGACTTTTTTGCAGTTACTTCATGATTCAACATTTTGTCTGCTTGTCCTCCCTCCCCAAAGTTTTTCGTTGCATCAAGAACAATGTTGTAATTGATATGCCTGGGTTATTCCCTTTTCAACGAAATGCACTTATTTTTCTTGGTAAACGTTTTTCAACGTGAGTGTTTGAAACAGCAAATATATATGAAGGTATGCTCTTCTTGAATGTTTTATTTTTGATATTAAATCATTTCAATTCTGACTTGTAAAAAATGCATTGTCATTGCTTTACGTTTGCGACATGAAATGTGATAGTGTGATACTGTCTGGTATTGCTTTGCACATCACAAATACGACGAAATAATAAGCGTCTGTGGTTCTTGTTCATGGTATTTCCTTTGATTATAGAAGTATTTTTGTCTATGTGTTTGATATAAGCTGTTAGTTGAATGATTTAATAGAGAAAAAGTGATTTCCAGTTGTACAAATGTTGTGTTTTTATCAAACCTTGCTACCAGCGTTCGGGCGGAAGTACTGTTGTGATAAGAATTTGTTTGCGGTTTGAGAAGCTTCCCACGTAGGACTTCTATTTCTGACACATTCTTAAGTTACTTTGGTAAAATTGTCTTCAGAACAAAACCACTTGTGTTTGAGGGTGTAAGTATTCCAGAGTAAAATATCCAAAGTGAACCTAATCCCCCTGTTGTGTTTTTTACAGAACAAACCTTGCATGTAAACTAACTTTTATATTTACACGTACTGTATCAGTGCTAAACTATCAGCTCTACAGCTCCCCAGTTTACAAGAGGAACAGAAGTACCCAGAGAAGTCCTGTAAAGTATGATTTTTGTGTGAAGAATATTTCTGTGATGCATAGCAGTTACTCTGCAATAAAGGTGGCATATTTGAGAATGGCTGGATTGCCTGACTGGAAAGGAAATTGTGTGTCGGAGATTTCAAAAATTTAATAGTAATTATATAGAAAGCATCAAAATTGTGCGCCAGAGATGTCTGCCGTGCAATACAAACTTTCCACACTGGCTGCATTGTATGCATAGTCTGGCTTCATTTTCAGTACTAAATTGTGGTCTTGTGAATGAAGCTTGCTCTCAGTACATACAAGTTGAATATGTGGATGTTGCAGGATTTTCTTGAAAACAAATGGACAGAAATTGAGCTGAAATTTTTGTGAGGGAAATTCATTCCCCATGCAGACCAAACATTAATGTCAGGCATGTGACCAAGGCTAATATTTATACAGAGGTGTGTTCGTAGCCATATAGTACACTTCATGAAATGAAACTTGAGTTGATGTTTATTTTTAGGAACTGAAAATGAAGCAATTGATTTATATTGATTGACATGGCCGAGTCAAAAAGCCGTCCAGTTCCTAAACGAAGGTCAGTACACCTTGGCACCCACAGAGGTGATGAATTCTCAACCACAGACTTGTATGGCAGTGGACAAGATCTACAAACAGGTATGGAAGTTAGTGACATTTCGGTTGTACTGTATCAAGGGTTGGTTGGGGATCAGTTATACAAAGGGCCTGTTCATATGATCCTGCTTACCGGGACGTCTCGCTTACCGATGATCTCGCCGCCTATCAATTTTCCTATAAAATTTTGCATTGTGTTCATATGAGAAAGCGAGCTGGCCCGCTTGCCGAGATCTTGTTTGAATTTGCCGAGATCATATGTAGGCGGGATGAAAACTTTTCCATATGAACACGCCAGCCCGCTTACCGGGATAAAGTGAAACAAGTCTTGCCGGTTTAATTTAACACTTTTTACTTGGTTTTATGTTTGTTTTGTAAACAAGTATTAAATAACC